ATATAGACTGCACAACGTCACACACACTAAAAACAAAATCTTATTTAATGTTGTGTTAATGTTTTCTAACACAATGAATTGTGTACATGTAGACAAAGCCACTGTGGAGGCAATTGGGTAGTTGGTAGGGTGACGAGATAGCAAGTGTAAAAAATCGGTGTGGGGGGTAATAGGAGCCTATATAAGAAAAAGGCCCCAAAATCAGGACTGTCCCTATAAAATCGGGACATCTGGTCACCCTAGTAGTTGGGTACATTGAGCCTCATATTTCTGATAGTAGAGGGAAAGTGAGAGCTTTCTTCTTTTGCAGAATGTTGGCTGCAGGCTGTTGAAAAGGGTGCTATTTTGACTGGTGGATTTAAAATTACTTCAATATAATTTAGCTACCACCAACACGTATATTAATTGCGAGATGAGAAATGTTGCACGAGTGTGTTTCCTTTAGTTATAGCAGTTTTATAAGAAACATTTATCTATATATATTTGATGTAGATATAGATAGCAATTTAAAAAAAGCTGTATTCATTAGTTGCATCTTTATATGCAGCTTTGAATGTTTACCACAGCTGATGATATACTGTCCTTAATATCATAACATCTATGTTGCCTGTATCACTGTAGAAAAGATATTTGCTGCCTAAATATTTATATATTCCTAAATTTTTGGTTAATCCAGTAAGAGGTACTATATTATCTACAGCACTGACATTTATGGGGAAACAACTGAACTGAAAACATTTTAATTGTTTTTATATATATAATTCACATCTTCCTCTGCTGTAGTTCATAGGTTTCAGGTGAGTGGAAATCTGGAGGGGGAGGGGGGGCTCTAAATTAGAGTTAAAAAGCATGAGCCCACCTCCAGCACTTCACCCAATCCAATGAAAGGATGAGTCACTCCAGAAACATCTCTACTGACTGCAGTGACCAACTGTGCAGTAGCCAATAAGGGCGCTATTTGCACCCCACCCACCAACCTCTCCCCTTCCCCCACCCAGCCCAGTCCTCTATGGAGAGAGAGGGGGGACCACATGGCAACTGCAGTTTGTTGCACAAAAGAGGCACGTGATGCTGGAAAAGGCAGCCCTGATGATAAAGCCTCAGGTTTCTCATTTAGCAAGGGGAGGGGAGAATATCCTGGATCGAAATGAGAACCGATGGAAATAAAATGATACAGCACTTCACACTGTAGCTACCTCTGCAACAGGATGGGGAGGGGCCGGGGCCGATCATGCGGGGCAGAGCCATGCGGCCGGTGCCGCCCGAGCTGCGTGTGTCTGAGACAGAGACCGAGACGTTCTGCCTGGGGCGCGGGGGTGGCATCGCTCCCCTCCCCCGCGGTACAGCCCGTGCAGCGACCCCGTCCCCCAGCTCTGCGGGCGCCTATTAATAACTCGGGGCCGCTCCGCCAATGGTAGGCGCCCAGTCCTCTCCCCGCGGCCAGCCCCGCCCACCCGGATTCGCTGGGCAAGCCGAGCTCCTCGTCACCGCTCGGCAATTTCCGCCGGCCGGAGCCGAATCTATTTCCGACCGCCGGCTCCAGACGGGCTTTATGTCTGAGAGCTCAGGGCGCCTGCGCCGCCGCCATCTTACTTCTCTTCTTCTCCCTCCCCTCCGGCCAATCCCTCCCCTTGCCCAGCTCCGGCGCCGCGCTCCAATGCCGTGTGAGGAGGCCTGGGGGGCGGGGGAGGACGAGTCGCGGTAGCGGAGGAGCCGGGGGGCAGACAGACCCAGCAGAGGGAGGAGGCGGACTCATCCCAGCCTGGTTCTGCAGAGGAGCTCGGTGTTAGCCCGAGGGAGCCGGGCAGAGCGGCTGAAGCGAACGCCTCGCTGCAGAGAGACGGAGCGGCGGAGGGAGAGGCTGGGCCGGCTCCCCTCCCTGCGCCGGGCTCTCCTAGGGGAGGAGGGCGGGTGGCTGCTCGTTCCGGCCTCCTCCTGTCTCTTTAACCACCCCAAAATGATTCAGCTCCATGGCTGCCACTGACGGGAATGTCCCTGCCCGGCTCAGGCTGCTGCCGCCGCCCTGCTGCGTGCCAGCCCTGTACGTATCTGCCTTCGCCTGGCTGCTCCTAGGCGCCCCAGCCTGCCGCGCTGCGGAGCCCCCGAGACCCTCTCGCCGCTCCTCCGCACCCAGCCGCCAGAGGCGGCGGCAGCCGCTCCCCCAGGGCCCCGCGGCGGGGAGCTCTGCTCTGCCGAGAGTCATCCCCCTCTAGCTACACACAGCTCGGTTGGGAGCCGGGGAGGGGGGCGGGCGGTTGCTTTCTGAGTTGGCCGGATAACGTGGGTAATTTCTTCCCCACCCCCCAGCACCCCGCCCCCCGGAGAAGAGGGATAGGGGGAGTGGAGATCGGAGGGGAAAGTGAACGGCAAAGGATTGAAAGTGTCACATTCACTGGCTCTGATCTGAAGGCGGCGGAGGGACCCGGCCTCACCCCCCAGCCCCCGAGAGGAGGAGGAGGAGGAAAAGGGGCGGTTTAGTGGCAGCGCCGGCTGTGCCGAGGCGTCTCAGCCTGTGCTGTGTGCGCCAGCCGGGAGAGGAGGGGGTTGTGTGTGGTGCCTCTCCCCTGGGTTGCATGCAAAGCTAACTGTGTGGCTGTCTCTCTCCGGGCCGGGGGATTGCACTCTTAAAATAAACCCGGTACAATGCACCAGCCTGACTCAGCCGCAGACATTAGTCCTAGGAAGATGGCGCACCCGGCAATGTTTCCTAGAAGGGGCAGCGGCAGCAGCAGCGGCGGCAGCTGCGTTACTGCGCTCAATGCACCAGGTACCGGCGCTGGTAGCGGTGCCCTCTCCACCGAGGATTATCCGCCGCCTCTGCTCATCCAGCCGCCGCCTCCGTCTCTTGCAGCATCTTCATCGGCGGGTCCACAGCCGCCACCCCCTCCTCCACAAAGCCTGAATCTCCTTGCCCAGTCTCAGCTCCAGCCACAGCCTCTTGCACAGACTGGAGCCCAAATGAAAAAGAAAAGTGGCTTCCAAATTACCAGCGTGACCCCTGCTCAGATCTCTGCCAGTATGAGCTCTAACAACAGCATAGCGGAGGACACGGAAAGCTACGACGATCTGGATGAGTCCCACACTGAAGACCTGTCTTCTTCAGAAATTTTGGATGTTTCTTTATCCAGGGCCACTGACTTGGGTGAACCTGAACGGAGCTCCTCCGAAGAGACTTTAAATAACTTCCAAGAGGCTGAGACTCCTGGGGCCGTCTCTCCAAACCAGCCTCACCTTCCTCAGCAGCATCCCCCTTTGCCACATCACCCACAGCAGAGTGTTGTGATCAATGGAAATGTTCACCCCCATCATGGTCACCATCACCACCACCTTCATCATCACCATCATGGGCATCATCATCCATCGCATCCCGGGGTGGGCAGTACACCAGCTTCTGGAGGACCACCCCCAAGTCCATCATTTAGAAAGCTGTCCACAACTGGAAGCTCTGACAATGTTATCACAACTGCACCAGTTTCTGCTGCATCATCCACTGGTACACCTACAGCTGCCCTATCTAATATTCGCACTACAAGTACTGGCAATATAGGTGTAAGTCCTGTTACTGGAACTAGTACGTTAAGTAATGTGGGTGGTGGTAGTCCTAGTATGACAAGCAGCATGCTTGGTAACGTTAATATAAACTTAAGCAACATCACAAGTACTGCTAATGTACATGCTTTGTCTGGAACCAGCAGCAATGTTAATGTGAATATCTTGAGTGGTGTTGGCAATGGTACGTGTGCTTCCTCTAATGTCATTAATAATGTTACTAATCCAACTGCAGGAATGGCAGTGGGATCAAGTCAGCAGCAGCCTGCAGCTGGCACATCAAGGTTTAGAGTTGTAAAATTAGATTCTAGTTCTGAACCTTTTAAAAAAGGTAGATGGATATGCACTGAATTCTATGATAAAGAAAACACTGTAGCAGTTACAGAAGGAGTAGCAGTAAACAAAGCGGTAGAGACTATAAAACAAAATCCACTTGAAGTGACTTCTGAAAGGGAGAGCACCAGTGGGAGTTCTGTTAGCAGCAACGTAAGCACACTGAGTCACTACACAGAAAGTGTGGGAAGCGGGGAAATGGGAGCACCTACTGTGATACAGCAGCAGACATTTCAAGGTGTGGGTCCACAGCAGATGGATTTTAGTTGTGCTGGACCTCAGACTATTCCAGCATCCAATATACCGCAGAGTATTTCTCAATCACAGCTTGCACAAGTACAATTGCCTTCTCAAGAAGTAAATTATCCACAGCAAAAGCAAGGAGTCCAGGCTTCAGCGCAGGCTACTCTACCAACTGTTACTGGTGTTCAGCCAACTCCAGTTAATGTAGTAGGTGTATCATTAGGTCACCAACAACCTGCTATTCCAAGTGTGGCTCAACAGCAGCTACCATATTCTCAACCCTCACGATCTGTGCAAACTTTGCCTGTTGTACCACCGCAGCAGTTACAGTATGGACAACAACAGACACTTCCCATGCAGATGACCCCTGCACGGGTTAAACCAGTGAATCAGAGTTCTGTGACAGGGACCATACCGGACTACATACAACATCAGCAGATACTTCAACCTCCAGTGCCTGCTGTGCAATCCAGCTCTACAGGAGTAGGAGCAGGAACACCGGTTCCTGTTGCTCAGGCACCAAGCATCCAACCTTCTGTACAAGTACACCCTGCTGTGGCACCAGCTCAGCCTGTTGCACATGCTCAGACAGCAATGCCACCCGTAGGTACTAGTGGTCAAATTATTAACATTGGACAACAAGGAAATGTACCTGCTGTGGTACAGCAGCCACCTGTTGCAAACCAAATGACACCTTCAGTTATGCAGCAAAGTGCTGCTCCTCCATCTTCACAAGTGGTGCAGCCTGTTCAGACTGGGATAATTCAGCAGGGACTACAAGCTGGTGCTTCAAGCCTTCCTCCGCAAATGGTCATTGCTTCACAAAATGCTTTGTTACCTGTACAACCCCAGGCACAAGTAGAAACTGTAGTTCAAGGAGTGACCAGCCACCCATTGCCTGCAGTTAGCCCTATACCTTCTACTAGTACCGTTCCTGCTCCAAGTCAAGCTAGTTCAAATGTACCTCTTGATATACCTTCTGCTCCTGTAAGTTTGGGTCCATCACAGAACATAGCACAAGCTTCAGCTGTGCAAAATGGGAATTTGATTCAAAGTGTTAGTCAGCCTCCCTTGATATCAACTAGTATAAGTATGCCAGTGGCACAGAATGTGCCACAGCAGATACCGCTAAACTCTACCCAGTTCTCTGCACAATCACTAACTCAGTCAATTGTAAGCCAAATTGAAGATGGCAGGCGCTCTACAGACCCTTCCTTAGTTGGTTTACCGCAAGTTGCCAGTGGTGAAAGTGGTGTTGGAGCATCAGCTGTTTCAGATGGGAGTGGCAGCAACATAACATCCTCTGCTTCCCTTTTTCCACTGAAGGTACTGCCATTGACAACGCATCTTGTTGATGGAGAGGATGAGAGGTAAGATCATGCCACTAACTTTACAAAGAAACCATATCACTTTTATGTATATTAGTTTGCAATTATCATTGCAGTGATTTTATAAGATGACTAAGTGCAATGTTGCAGATATAGTTGTGATACCTGCTTTGTTAGAAAAACAGTTTCTCAGGTCACGACATACACAGCTACTGTGTTAAATTTCTTATGTTGCTTCTCTTCTAAGAGAGGGAGTGAATTGTAGTGATTGCACTCTGAAACTATATTGCATGAGTACACTGACTGTGTAGAAGTACCTAGCAGGCTGTGTCTCCCTTCATTATATTATACGTACACACAACGTTATAGTTGACTGACTGGAAAAGTACGCTTTGGAGTTTGGTGGTATACTTACAATAATTATCAAGTTTTGGGGGAGCAATTCTTAAATACTATTAACTATTTGAGATTTATTTTTAGGTATATTTTACAAGCCTAAGAGTCCTTTCCATCTCAAATTTCCTTTTTGAATCTTAACTACATCATGGTTTGGTCTGCTGTGAATGAATACCTTATGGAAGGTTTGGGCCAGCCACTTCAGGCAATATGGGGGTGGAGTGGGGCTTCTCTGGGGATGGTGGTGGGAAACGAATTGTTCAGACTGCTCTGACCCTGGATGTTTCCTCTCAATGTTCTCTGCTGCTGCTGCTCCTCCCTTCCCCCTCTTTGAGCCCAGTCTGAGGCACTTGCATGTTTAGTTCCTGGAGTTTCCACTTTAAAGCCCTATTACATTGCCAGAGTTGCTCAGTTCTGCACAGGGAGCACAGGCCTTTGAAATTGATGTGCCTGTAGTACAGTCTCAGAGGAACCATTGTTAGACACTTGAAACATGAGGGTTTTTTTAAAAATAGATGAGAACTGGGTGTCTTAATTTGTGTGTTTGTGTATGTGTGTGTGCTGGTTTCTTTGGCAATGTGTGCAGTGTAACTGTGTCAGTTTCAAAGGTTTCTGCCCCCTGCACAGAATTTAGCAGCCTTGGCAACAGCCATTTACAACCATTATTATTTAATACTAATGTCGTAGCTGTATCTGGTAAACCCAGTTGGGAATAGGGCCCTATTATAATGGGCTCTGTAAAAATACATATGAAAATGCAATTTGAGTTATGTGAATAGTGTAACTCAAATAGACATAGCTTAGATCTACTTACCGTGGAGTGCACACTATGCGATGTTGACAGCTTCTGGTGGAATACAGGAGTCGACGGGAGAGCGAACTGCGGTCAATTTTAGTGGGTCTTAGACCCGCTAAATCAACCACTGATGCATGGCTTGTCGATTCCCCGGTAAGGGTAGACAAGCCCTGAGAAGAAGAAATTCCATTAATGTGAGAGGAGGGTAACTTAGGACAGAATTAAATAGCCTTGAAAATGAATGGGGGAAGAACAGGACATGAAAAAAGGAAAGATTCAGATTTTCCTTCTTGCTTGTAGTCGCAATGGAAGGTGAGGGTGGTTTTTTGTTTTTGTTTTTAAATTTTTAGGTTCATACACCCATTTAAGTCCTGAGAACTAGCAGAGGACAAATTTGTCCCCATTGCGGTAGATCTCAGGATGCTGAAAGGTTAGATATTAATGTTAATGTTATATCAGCAGTCTTTGATACTGTTGATCTTGAGGTGTTGACTGCTTAAGGTGGCTTTAGTCATTCTTTCTAAGATATCCCAGAGGGTTAGAAGGGGAGGTTGTTCATTTTCCATGAGGGCTCTCGCATAAGAGGTCTCACAATATTCTGTTAGTGGCCCACTTCCTTTTCAACAAGTATGTGAAGCTGGTAGAGGAGGTATTGAGATGTTATGGGCCTACTATGTCGTCGTCATGCTGATGATGCTCATCTTTGTGGGATTTTTTTGTTTTGTTTTCCCTTGGAGAACCTGAACATTGCTCTTTGCTTTTCCAGTGTTGGAAGAAGTAATCAAAACTGATACTAGCTGGTGTGCTCAAACCAGTTAAGATGGCAGTATGCTTGTTGATATTGGAAAGCGTTTTGAGAAATTGGCTGGGGTATGCAACTGCACATTTATTTTAAGGGTAGAAGTCAGCTGTTTTTCACAGTTGATAGATTTGTTTGTAGTTCTTGAATCCCAGGTAGTAGAAGCAGCTGGAAATGCTGCCTTCTTAAGTTTCTTGGCTGGCCAAGGAGTGCATCTTTTCCCCACCTATGTAGACTGTGCCCTCATTATTTGTCTTCATCATCTCCTAGTAGACTACTGAAATTTGCTCTCATGTAGCTACCACTGACCATCACTCAGATGCTTCATTTAGAGTAGAATATGACTGCTTGCTTTTTACAGACCTGTAGGTAGAAGAGACTATACTATCGCTGTGCACTGCACTGGCTGCCAATCCTCTGCTTAGTCAAAGATAGATTATTTACAGATGTTCTAGCACCTGGCTGTCTCAGAGATCATCTCTACCCATGTATCCCTTTTCAGAATATACCATTATTGGGAATGCTTTTGCTTTCCATCTGGGGATGGAATCCTGGAGCTACTGAAAAGGTATTTTCAGTACCAGATCCTTGGCTCCGTAATGCCTTTCCACTTACAGTCTATCAGAGTCTGAGTCCTGTACCTTGCGTCATGTCCTAAAAGTGATATCTCTTCGGTTTGGTTTTTCTCTTATCTCCTCAGCCACTAGTCTCCTTTAGTTGGTGTTCTTGGTTTTGATTTTCTTTTGCTGTAGGGTGTATGTATTAGATTAGATGTCTCCTGGTTAGGGAACAATATTGTGTTACATACCTGGACTCTACATACTAAAGAAATAGGCACCCTAAAATATGTCTAACAAGTAAAATGCCTGCAAGGGATTCTAGACTCCAGGTGGGCACTACATTTTCTGATTTAAGATTAATGTGTACACATCACAAGTGGTTCCAAATCTGACAAGGGAAAATGCATAAGAAAAAATTTAATTGAATAATGCTGAGTGACAGCATAATTGGACTGGTGAAGAAGTTGTAAAATTCCGTTGTGAGCATGCATCTGAAGAAATGTCTGACCCATATAATATCTTGTGTAAATTATATCTCAGCTTTCAATGAAGCCATTTTATAATTATGTGTACATTCATCTGTCAATGTCCTTTTGCCTTAAAATTGTTAACCCTATTACCTCTTTAGAGCAGTAACTGCACTCCTTCCTGTGCCCATTATTAGTACATAGGCTGTTAAATACTCTGCTGTGTTATCTACATCCTTTTAAGAGGAGAGAGAATTTTCTCTTTGAAATAATAGCTGGTATTTCCCCAATATAAGTCAGACTGCTATATTTCTAAATGTAGCAGAGAAGCCATAAAAAGAAGCATAAAGATGAACTCTCTGACAGCATATCCTGTGGAAAATTAATCTATAAACTTCAGTTATTGAAGAGAGAGGGTAAAAGCAATACTGTTACAGCTGCCATATTAATAAGCTGTTTCCTCTGGCTTCTGTTCTCTTAGCCTGTCAGATACACCTCACATTTTGACATGTCAAACTCTAGACTTGTCATCTGTCCTAATAGCTCAGTTTTCTAAAATATAGGCAAATTCTCTTTTTGGTGTTTAGGTAGTTTTTTTTTTTCTTGAGTCATGGTATATATTGACTTTTCATAAGGCTATCTCATTTATAGATGGCTCTTGTCTCAGTTTACACTGAGACTGATTATTGAATCAAGTCAATTTCAAACAATCTTTGATCTTCAGACGATTTAACTATGGAAATCTTTCTTCATTATTTTTAATGCCCTTGGAATTTTTCAAATAGATAAACCTTAATAAAAATTTTCCATTACATTTTCATGTATGTAGACTTTGTATTGCAAAATGAGTCAAGGTAACACCTTCCTAGGCAGTGTGTTGTTATATGCAAATTAAGTTCACAGTGGGAATCCATGTGTGCAATAAAGAGCACAGCTCTTAATATTTAGTTTACATATAAGTACAAAATCCAAAACTGTTGTATTTCTACTGATTTTTATAGGTACAAAGTTAACTTAAATCACACATTTTGTTTCAAATTAGCCTCTCGTTCATAAATGTTGCTTGTATGGTAAAGATCAGACAATAAAAATATTTTTCTTCACTTGTTTTCTTCATGCACTTGAGAGCACTTTATGTGTAAGTCACTTTCCCACTGCTTCCTCGCTAGTCAGTCTGTGTTTTCACCTGTTTGTGTTTGTCTTTCACATAGTAACAGGATGTGAGAAACCAGTTTGAAAAGTAGGAAAATGATTGTAAACCCATAAAAACTGGTATGGAGACTTTAAGGCATGTGTAATACCTGAAACTATTTTACATTTTCCCCCACCAGTGGATTTCAGGTTGCTGATGTGTCTTTAAAATTGGACAGGTGGCTGTGAGATGTTTGCCTGTGTATAGACTGTAGGATTGGTCCAAGGGTTCTTAAAGTTATGAAAAGGGAGGATGGATGAAACCAAACTAAGTGAATTAAGCACACTTGTAAAGATTTTTTAAAAATGCTAACTGCAAGCGAATGCAGTCAGGAAAGAGGGGAAAATTTTACAGGAAAAAACAATGTGTATATAATATAGACCCCTGAGGGCAAGAGAACAAATGAAATTTTTACAGAAGTCGCTAACCAGCTCTGACCTATGGTAAGCAGGCCAGGTTGTAGAATTATGAGCATAGCATGATCCTTTCTCTTTTGAGGCACATCCTTATTAATGCTTTTAATTTTTAAGTGTTACAACTTAGTGAATTTATATGGAGTTTGTTTTTAAACTAAGATTTTGTCATAGGTTTTATATGTTATGAACTGAAGCTGTGGGGGAACTGTGGGGAATCCTTAAAATGGCATAGTACTTTAACGGTTTGCATTGAGCTTCTTAATTTGTGTAAGCTGTAACACCAGACTGTCAGCACTATCATTGTTACAATCTTCCAATTTCAGAAGCTAAATTTAACTTTATAAATTTGCCATGAATTTGAAATTGTCATAAAATTTGCACCCAAAAGAGAATGTTTGTGTCTATTTTAATAGATC